CAACTAAACGTTTCTTCCTTACTTTCATTCATTTCTAGATTATTAGTGAGTTAGCATGTAGGATGGGTACTTTTCCTACCTCACTGTAACTCAAAATATCAGAAGACAGGAGAAGGAAGGGGGGTTGAGGGGGGCACAGAAACAAACATCAGCAGAAATAATCCAATATATGTCACACAGTTAACGTCAGTTCTGGGCAATCTCGCCAAGACTCCAATATTTACCCCAGCATTGATTGGAAATATATCTTTTAAAAAAAACAAGGAAATGTGACAATTTGCATTGCAATCCTCAAAAGAGCAACAATATATCACAGCACTTTAACAACAGTTAACAGTTTTAGTTTATGTTATATAATCGTATAGTATGAGACTAACACAGGAAATTCAATTCAGAATAAGTATTCAACAACCATCTCAGTTAATGAAACAAAAATAAACACAAGAACCCAATACCTGTGAGCAGTGTCAGGGTGGTCTAAACCCAGGCAACGCTCGTTTATAATTAGTTCCTTGTGTTGTTGCATTATGGCTCCCGCCATATCTCCTGCATGATAAAGGACCATGGCAAGATACCTGAAATTAAGTACACAAAAACCTCAGCTTAGATGCGATGTGCATCATGAATAACTAATTACAATTAGAAACAAATCTGTCAAACAGTTTCAGGAGGCAATGCATACCGACAGCAGTTTGCAACCTCCCGATGCATTGGACCAGTAACCTGCAATCACAAAAAAAGAGAGGATATAATGTACTAGACACACACATTTCATGGTAAATTTAAGATAACAACCCAAATAATATTATTCACCTGCTGAAGTATCGAAAATGCTTCAGAAAATAATGTGTAGGCTTCGCTTAGCATTCCCTGAAATAAAAAGTGCAAGATAAGTGACAAACCACATTATTATATGAACATGATATCGATCACAACGAACTGATACTAGTTGCAACTTGCGCATGTCCTAATGTCCTGATATCCCATCATGATTTTGTTCTATATCCGTCCCTTCTTTTGAGGAAAACCAGTGGACACATTTTTGTGGGATAGAGTACAGTTTTGAGCTTTGTTGCGAGCATCACACACTATCATGTGAGTTCAGAGATACTCCATTCTTACACTACATGCAGACAGGGGAAGACTGTTTATTGGGATTTTTCGGTTGTGTTAGTTTATGTTTAGTGTGCAGCTGAGTTTTACTATCCGTTGGTGAACTGCCTTGTCCACTACAGCACAATACTGTTGCACTTGGTTTTGATCTAATAGTTTTACCATAGCTAAAGTTTATGTTTCTTATCATATATATACAAAGCTTGAGAACCAGGATCCCATGTCATTTTCTGCTGCAATTCCATTTTTGCAAATTTCACCATTTTCGCAGATTTACCCGATAAGTTTGATTCCCTTAATGAAAGGGATCCTTTTTGATGAGAATAGCAAAGGACAGTTCTTAAATGGGGATCTAAATATTAGACAACTGAACTACAGTGCCTTGTGGCCTCAACAAAGCCATCCCTCGGTTCTTATCAAAGGGATCCCTCTTAAGAAGGGGACTCATATATAACAAACTCATGATGGGATATTAGGACATGTGCAAAGTTTCAGATTTTGAGCGGATTTTCGCCAAACCTATATAAATTCTTCCGGTGAACAATCACAAATTAATTATAATAAATATAAAAAACCAACACCTTAAAGTGAATGCTTTTTTAAATTTTAGATTATTGCAGAACTAAAATATATTTGGTTCCATGGTAAATGCAGCATCCCTATATTCTAATACAACAATTATTGGTCATCATCAGATTCATGGTAAACGTATCCCAGAACTAAAAGATATAAAAATATACACCCTGACATTCTTTATATTAATATAACTTCAAATTAAAGTCTTGGCCATCGTTTGGAATTAGCATTGACTTCCAAGGTTCTCACAGAAGATTATATTTCTGGTTGAGAACATTTCCTTACGTCCTGAACCTGATGCTATCACAATACCAAGATACAAATTCTTTGAAGAATCATTGATAAACAACAAAGTACAGTGCATACCTCTGCCAGTTGGATCTTTCCTGTTTCCACAAGATCCTTAGCTTCTGAACACACAGGAACTGAGTGTTTCACTACAGGTTGCAGATTTAAGATATCTGATATTTGGAAAGGTGCTGCAGAATTAAGATCATATCTGCGAGCTGCAATTGTAATGCCCACCTGCGAATGAAACCAAAGTCAATTTGTCCGCCACTTAGAAGCGTAAGTGATTGTTAAGCAAATTTGAGTTGCAACCAAGTAAATTGGACCAGAAGAAATTATAGTTACCTTCTGACAAAGATTACGTATAACAGAATCTTTCTTTACATGAGTCCTAGCATCCTCTGGCAGCTCAAACTATCATCAATGGCAAATTACATAAAACGATAGGTTAATAAACACCAATCAAAGATACCCTTTTGAGGACCAAGTACTAAACTTGGAGATCCCACAAAACATATACAAGTCCATTTTAATTTATACAGCCCAGAAAAAGGAAAAATGTTATGAAACAATATGGAAAATGGCCCATAGCCACAAATGATACATCATTGGAAATAAAATCAATGAGATCCCCACGGGGTGTACATATTTCTCAACAAAGAATTGTGACCCCTTAAAGTTATTCAGGGAGCATAATTTCATAGCGTCAAAAAGTTATTTGGGGATGTCAAATTCTTCCTGGAGAGTCAGATATTATTGATAATTGATACCTGATATTTGAGCTTTGCAAATTCTTGAATGTCAGACCATAGAGTTTCTGAGCTAACATGCATAAATGAGGATTGATTTTTTCTTGTAGATGCTCCATCCTTCCATCTTCCTTGTCCCTTGGACAGCTTTCCTGAAGATTGATGGCCTGTTTGTTCCTGAAGATAGAGGAACTTAAAGTTACAAAAGGTTCCTCAAACTCAAAAAATAGACCAGTTTTGCTGAGATATGCTTGGTATTAAAAACATTTGTGATTCCCAAAAAGTTCAAGTTAATAGTAAACTGCATATAGTTGCAACTTTTTACTGCAAAACAGTACTCAGATGAGCTTTAAAGGGATTACAGGGATCAAGAATTCTCTTAGAACAACTTAGCACTGAACTTTCTTTCTAGTTGATACTATAAAACATACTTTTTTGGGGGTTCTAGACTGCACACTATTAGCAGCCACTTTAGAGCTAACAGCTTGACTGCTTCCAAAAAAACAGTTGAAGAAATGGGAGATTGCAGGCCCAATATCATGATCATCCGTTTCTCTCAAGGCATCCTGCAGACAAGAAAGTAGAAAAGACCATGAACCACTTTCCACCAGAGACAAAAAGATTGAACATTGACAATTGTGTGAGTGTGCTCAGTCAATAATAACTCTCGGATACATGGGCCAAACATCAAGGACCTGATTGGTTTTTACTATTACTAGAGAACAAGTAGGAAAGGTGGAAGGATGGATCTGAAATAGTAATTAACACTTATGTGATAACCAATCCAAGGCTACATTTTTTAAGCAGGCCCATGAACCAAATTAATAGGAACAAAGTACAGATTGGCACATAACAGCAAGAAATAAGGTTTCACATGGATTGATATTTCTAAATGTCTGTAACAGTTACAATGAAGTCTGAAACAGGGATATAATAAAAAGTAATCCGATATAAGAGCTCAGTTACAGACATTAAGTACCACTAGGAGAAGTTGCACCTCAAACTGAAAAAGTAACAAACTCATACTGTAACAAGAGCAAGGACACGAATGTATTGCAGGGACATTTATTTATTTGCTGCACTAAGAATTCCTTCTCTCCGACTATACTGTGTTTGGGAAGAGAGGGATGGTGTAGAAAGAAAATGATGAAGTTATTTGAGGCATAAAAATTACTTCAACAACTGAAGCAGCCTAATGGATGTTGCTTAATTGTCGACCAGGCATCTTGCAAGAATATTTTTGGCTAAATCCCTTTAAATATAGTAAGCAACAACTCAAAAAGAAATCATGAAACTGCTATCTGAGGACTCACGGGAGTTGTATCCCTCCTAGAGACCTGAATCAAATTACTTATCTTACGACTACAACATAGTTTTTATGGAAATAACACCCTGTAAAATGTCAACATTTGCTGGTCCCCAACAGGACAACATTTCAGTTTTTAACCTGATAACATGAGAGACAGACCATACAAGGAAATGCTTATCACCTTGAGAATGTGCTTTGCTGATCTCACCACAATCTCATTAGAGCAAAGATCCCAGAGATGAGGTAAATGTCTGGTCCCATCAGCCACCTGTTGAAAACATCCAGAGGGTGTCAAAAGCAATATCCCTACATATTCAAGGCATTCAGTCACCCAGACCTTGCACATTCCATTTTATATAAACCCTTACTAGGAGAAGAAAAAGGAATACTTCCACAGTTTCTACATGCTAGTAGTGGTTACAAAGTGCGAAGGATTTATTAAAAACCATAATCCTTACTTTCCCAATATAGCGAACATTAATTCCATGAGCATGGAGTGCTTCAGTTAGTGTTTGCCCATCCATGGGTGATACTTCAAGTGTGCAAAGGTCTTGTATAAACTTCGGAAGCACAACATCTGTAAGATACAAACTGGCTTTCCTCACATTTCCTTCGTCTGCTTCAATCTCCTGGAAACAGGAAGGAAAATAAATAATTTATACAGGTTTAAACTCAGTGAGAAACAAAGCAGAAAATTAAAAGGTCTAAAAAATACCTCCTCACTTCCCGCCAACTTAAACTCAGTGAAGACATTAGGGTTGAAAAGAATGTCCTCGCATGATTCAGCGCTGTCCGTGGGTGGGGAAGCACCTTCTTGTGCATCTGTGGCCTTCCCTTTTTCTGTTATGTCCTGTGAAGAGCAATAAAATGAGACATCGCCCATATTACTAGAAGGCGAATAAAGAATTCATCCTATACCATACCAAATAACCAATAAGTTCACCTGTAACATTCTTAACATACTAAAAGACAAGTTAATTTTAACACCAAAAACAATGAGAAACCCCCTCGCTAAATCGGAATGAGTGAGAAATAAAGCAGATAATCATAAGGTCCAAACACACCTCCTCACTTCCAGCCACCTTAAACTCAGTTAAGGCATCAGGGTTGGAAAGAGATTCCTTGCATGATTCAGAGTTGTCGGTGGGTGGAGAAGCACCTTCTGCATCTGTGTCCTTCCCTTCTCCTGTTATGTCCTGTGAAAAGCAACAAAATGAGACACAGCGCCCAAAGTACTAAAATGCAGAAAACGAACTCATCCTATACCATGCCAAATAGCCAATAAGTGTAACTGTCACATTCTTAACATACTAAAAACAAGGTGAATTATAACTCCAAAAACAATGAGATACCACCTCTCCCGCTGAATAAGGATTAATGGCAAGTATAAAAATTCTAGAAATAGTAATACACTTTACTGACATGTTGAAAAAGTATAAACAAGTTTTACAACAATACAACCTTCATAACCTCTATAAGCTAAAGTTGCATCAGCTAAATTCTCACCTCTTTAACATCGGTGATGTTTGGAGAATCATTGGTGACGTGACCTTCTCCCTCACTTGACTTACATTTTGGTTTCTCTGCAGCTTGGACCTTAATCCAATACCAAAAAAAAAAGGCTAATATGAGAAACATATGAAGCAAATTCAAAGACAGTATTGATATCAGGTATCATATCACACCTGGCAGTAAGCAGTAATTAGTTCAGGCCTCAAAATACAAAATCTGGACCCAGGCCCAGTGAAGTTTGCATCACGGGGAGTTACTCTCATCAAGTCAAGGAGATAATGTCTGAAGCAGGGAACAGAATTAAAAAAGAACATGCATGAGTGTACTAAGTTAGATCTGCATGAATAGATCTTTAATGCAAGAAGTTTCATAAGAGCTGAAGAGATTTTGTTAGGAGTTCCGAGAAGTAAAAATTACCTGTCATCACTACCAACAATACCCTTGCATTCTACCGGTGCTGCTAACTTAAAAACATTCCCAGATCCATCAAGGACAGTGTGTTCTTTCAGATGAAGGCGTTTAGCAGCTTCCACCACCTAAGCATACAAAAATCTTAGAATTTTCACAAGAAATTCTAGTCCTGAAGAAGGATATACGCAGTTTTTCTCACTTAAGAAGACAAAATATGAAAAAATTGGTAGCTTAATAAAATAATCCGGTCTTAGATCTCCCTCACCTTGGAATGGAACTCTTCATTCCAGCATATCTTCTTTCCATTATCAACAGAACCATATAGAAGAGAGTCTGATTTATCCCCTTGAAGAATGCCTGGTAAAACACTCTGCAGTGAACGCATAACAAATAAAACAAGGAGAGAGTAATCAGATAACTTAAAAAAAAGTTCCTCAAAAAACAACAAAAAAAAGGTATGAAAAAAAATATACAAAGCAAACGCAAACCCTAGAAACTTACATGCAAATGAAAAGAAAAACAAATTTATGGTCATTTATGTTATGTATGAAAAACAGTCGAGTTCAGCAATTTAAAACACAATTTTCATTATACTTTTTTCTATGGTGGAGTGGGGCTAGCCAGGCTCTAATAGACAATTGTTTTCAAAATTGACCTTTGAACTTATGTCCAGGAAAGGTGCAGCACTAGGATTACCAGTTTCTCCTAAGACCAAAAAAATTATGATACATACAAAGAACATCCGGTTTGAGACACACCTGAGCTACTACTCTATGTCCCCTGTAATCGATTATGGCCATAGCGAGATTATAAAGTCCAGAAACATCAGCTTCTTGGTATGCCTTGGTGCCTTTCAAATCATTATTTGCAGAAGCATAAGTAGCCTGCTCGGTTTCACCCAATTGCGTCTCCGCAGAAACATCAGGAGACGATTCCATGGCGACATGACATTCCATTGTACTGGATCTATCACATTTTTCCCCATTGGGAATTCCACTCTCTCCATGCAACAAGCTATCAGGAGGAGCCTTCTCAGAAGAACTGCGTAAAGAGCCAGTGCTTCCGATCTTTGAACTAGAATCTGCATGTTTCTTAGACAGCTGCTCAAGGTCCGCATCAACAGCAAAACTGAAGAATATATTATTGTGGACATACCTAGAGCCAAAAAAACCAACATCTTATATCAATTCATATTTCCATGAATCTATTATTAACAAAAGCATGCATGTGTCATAAGAATCAAAGTTACAACCATAACATCAGAAAATGTATTGCCTAGATAGTACATAATTACCAAACTCAATAAGGAAATATTTTTGCTCACCACTTTAACCCAAGGTGTATGCTCACCACCCTTCTTAATATTTGACACGTGTCCATAGGCATAACCATGGTTAACTTTTTACTTTGATTTATGTAACCATGGTTATACTTCTGGACACGTGTCAAGTGTTGAGAAGGATGGTGAGCATACATCTTGGGTTAAAGTGGTGAGCAAAAATGCTCCCAACTCAATCAAAATAAGAATGAATAATATGTCAAAGGCAATTTAATGTAAAGCTTCAAACTTTGAACTCAATGTAGAAACCCTCATATGGCAATGTTGGTCTGATCCATCATGACTACTAATCAGAGTTACAGTAAAAGAGATTCGATATTATATGTACACACCAACCACACAAGTCATGGATATTGACAAAATTTTACAGTAAACTTGGGTATATTAACTAGCCATATAAAATGACTTCAATACTGGAGTAAATTGATATATCTGATGGCAACAAAAAGGTAGTGGTATTTAGTTTACTGGGGAGCTGGGTCACAGAGTAACCACCACTAAGGCAGCTAACAAAATGTAATTTTCTGCATAGACATAGAGTAAACTAATTGATGTCTTCATGGAAATATGTATTTTTTAAAAAGAAAAAAAAAAAGGCAATCCTTTTCAGGTCAGACTAACATGTGGAAGCACTCTGGATCAGTGGGATTTATAGGTGGTATGCATCTGCTAATGACTCCAATAGCACCACTCATAGCTGCATCAACGAAGTCTGAAGTCACTTTGTAAAGAGCCCTATCCCGCAAAATTCTGCAAAATATGGCCTACATGTGAGATAACGACACAAGAACCTAAAAATCACAGATTAAGTGATAAAGTAATTACTGAAGGGAAAATACTAAAGGACATACATAACTTTTAGAACCCACTCTATCACAGATCATTACCTTTCCTGAGGAGTGGTATGCGGAAATTCCCTACAAGATTGCAACTCCTCATTCCAATCCCTTTGCATGCCAATTAACTCACTACCATAGGAGAGAGTAAGGGCATCCTCTGCTCTGGCTGCATCACGCTCATGATCTGACAATAGTAGATCCTTTAAAATGTATTCATATGTGAAGAAGATAAAACACAACATCAAGCAAACACTAAAACTCAGAAAACCAACTTCTGTATGCCCTAAAATATTACAAATATATTTTATATTAAAAAATTACATCAAGAATTATAACCACATAAAGTGACAATAAATTACATGTACTGTGGGTGAACTCTCCCACTTCAACTATGGACTCTATTATAAAATTCCTTTTCAGTTTTGGGTTACGCATAGCCCCAAAAGACAATAAAAAATTGGCAAAAATTTAGAAGAAGTTTCGAGACAGAAAAAATACAGGTAAAATTGAAAATACTCACATGTCGAGTGGAACTCTATAAATATTTATGATCAAGCAAGAAACATTATTTTTTGGGTTACGCATAGCCCCAAAAGACAATAAAAAATTGGCAAAAATTTAGAAGAAGTTTCGAGACAGAGAAAAAATACAGGTAAAATTGAAAATACTCACATGTCGAGTGGAACTCTATAAATATTTATGATCAAGCAAGAAACATTATGCAACATTATAACGAGGTAATGATGAATGGATGAGATTACTTCCTTCTAAAACCATACAAGGTTGTGATTGAGACTTTGAACTCTAAACTGAACGCAAAGTCAATTATCATGCCGATTTGAAGACAACAAGAAAAACTTATCATGCTTAAGTATCATAACAAAAGCAGGCTGCACACATGTTGAAATAACAGAGCATTAAATTTTATAACTGTAATAATCTATTTTCTTTATTTCTTTAGGAAAGAAATCATATTCACTAAGCAGATTTGAAGATAAAATTTGCAAAACAGTAATCTCTATCAGTAGCAGTAATGCCTGAAAGAGGCAACCAGAAAATTAGCCAGGCTACCAGACATGCAAAATATGGAGATCTTGTGAAATCTTCTTGAGGAAATTATTATTACAGCACAAACGTGACACCTTCTACAACCCCAAAATCCTCATTTAAAAGTATTCAGGTCCAACGAAGTTAAGCTCACCTGGAACTGGATATAACCCTAGCCATGAATTTGGTGGCAATAAAGATTGAACATTTTCGAAGGGATGTGCAGAAGCCCTCCGCTCCAAAATTTCACGAAAAGCTGCAATCAATAGAATATAAATAATCAAACTTCTGTAAATTTCAAAGAGGAGAAAAAAACAAAGGTAAAGAAGGTCTGAACCATTTCAATTACCTTTTTTGAACTTAGAGCTGATCTTTTGCAAAAGTCCAACAAGTGTGGTAGCTTCCAAATTGCTTTTACTCGGCCGAGGATCAAGAGTATTCCCGGTGCTTGAATTTACATAAAACATTTTTGTAGTCCCCGTAATACAATGTTTATTACCCTCCATTGTTACTACATCCAAATAAATCAAATCCCCAACAAGCCTGGCAACAAAAACGCCAGACAGCACATAGTTAAGATAAGACAATTCCCAGGAAAAAAGATGCATTTTATTTTATGTCATAAGATGCAAGCAAGAGAATTTATGGTTCACCTTCTATAGCTTGGTGGAGGGTTGAAGGATGAAAACACAATACTCTCCACACATTTGATCTCTATTGAAGGTGATGATAGCAAATTGCTCAATGAACCGGCAACATCCTCCATAAAACCCAAACCATCAAGCTCTGGGACCTCAGTTTTTGTGGTATCTAGATCACAGTTAATTACAGTCCCGAGTTAAAAGTAATCCCCAATGTAGATAACAGGTACAATAAATGAGAATATTAAAATGAATTTATGTTATCTGAACAAAATCTCAAACCTCCGGGACTTGATACTTTGTTTTGTGCTGTCTCATACTGTAATGCAAGTGATGTTGATAGTGACGCATGAAGTGTGGACAGGGAAAGTAATTCTCGTGTACGATGAACATGAGCCCTTATAGATCTATCATCATATAAAGCTGCAGAAAAATATTCACATTAGAAGATCCTTTAAGATCTTATAACCCCAAAAGCAACACAATGTTAGTATTATACCAGGAACCATCTCCAAGGAGCAACCACCAATGGTAATGTCAGAAACTTCAGAAATTTCATTAAAGTCTTCCAAATGATGAGTGGAGCCATCCTTTGTGTGTAGCAATAAGTCATAGCATGTGAAGAAACATGTCTCTGGCGCATCAAGCAGAAACTGTCTTATATCCATAACAGAATCTCCCGGGTTCAACTGCATATTATAATGGATAAGGTAAAATGGATTCAAGGACACAAAATATCTAATTAGATTACATAATTATATCAATATCCATAATCAACTATCAAAATAAAGTGTGAGTTGACAAATATGGACAGGGTGCTCAAATTGCATCACCTTTTGCATTTTGCAACCAATTACACATTCAGTGAAATTACAAGCAATAATTATCGAACTTCACTCACTTGTAGCTCAAGCTTCTCGCCACTTTGTGTCTTGACAGAGACGGGATACAGATGAAGGTCGCCTGCACTCTCACAGATAGGGAAATCAGAATGAGAAAAACAGCTTTTTTATAAGAGAATGAGTAAAAAAAGTTAAAAGCTTTGCTCAAAATAAAAAAAACTAAATGGTTGCCGCTTTTGAAGGTAAATGAGCTTGATCGAAAAGTTATATAGGCATTCAGTCAAGACCTACAAATGTGATGAAATTAAGACTATTTGTACAAATAAGTCCATGTCCATGTTAGAGGGCAAAACTAAATGGTTGCCGCTTTTGAAGGTAAATGAGCTTGATCGAAAAGTTATACAGGCATTCAGTCAAGACCTACAAATGTGATGAAATTAAGACTATTTGTACAAATAAGTCCATGTCCATGTTAGAGGGCAAAAAAAAAACAAAGGAATAAACCAGCTAAAGTTAATAGTACATTCCAGAAAGAACAGCTATAGAATTGGGGGGGCAGGGTAGTGGTCACATGTCAAATGCATTGGATTGCCTCTAAAAAAGTGCAAAACACGTCCATACATCTTGATGATTTTTTTCGTCAAAATATACAAATACATATCATTAATAAATAAATAAAAATCTGAGTGTCGAAAGCCTTTATCAGTCCAAAGTTCTTGCTATGATACCATCTTTCTGGTCTGCTTGCTATGACAGCATTGCAACAATAAAAAGACACACTTGAGAGGAGAAATAAAGGAAGAGAGTCCACTCTTAACCTTCATCCTTTGTTTTGTTGCATATAAAATGAGCTTCATTATAGGTTTTGTTGTTTGTTCGAGGTTTTTCCTCTTGATTATCAATATAATGTTTCTATTCAAAAAAAAAAAAGAGCTACATATGCATGTATGTGTGTGCATGTGTGACTTTCTCCATCTGCTAAATGAATATGTTATCCTTTCCCTATATGCCCATGCAGTATTCATGTCTTGTGTTTTTATAAGTACTTCCTGTGTGTCAGCTAAAAGATATGATGTGGTGGACATGTCTTTTGTATGTAACGAAGCCTTCACTTACCTAGAAAAATGTAATTATTTTGTACTATCTTAAATTACTTACACAAACATGGTTACATTGTACAAGTGCCTGCAGATTTTTCAAACACATGCGAGTTTGTGTAAATTTCTAAATGTTTATGTATGTACATTGCTTCTCATTGCCTTCAGGTGGTTAAGGGTTCGTTTGGGAGTGATTCTAGATAGGCCAAAAATCACTTCTGTGGAGAATCACTTCTCCATATAATCACTTTATGTGATTTTAAGTGATTTTATGAAGAATCACATGGGAGGTGCTTCTCCCCAGAATCACTTAAAACCACTTAGAGTGATTATATGGAGAAGCACGTGGGAGATGCTTCTCCCCATAAGTGATTCTGGCCATCCCAAAATCACTCCCAAACAAGCCCTAAATTAATTGTTGTATTGAAAAGGATTAAAGATTCGAGAGAGGGTGAATATGGGAATGGCATATTGACTAGAGGTATTTACAAGTGGAATAAATATTTGAAGGCCCATAGTACCAAATTCACCTTGCTTAGGTTGGCTGGTTGAATTCTCTGTTTCAGACTCTTTTGCCTCTGGCTTGGCCTCAGTTGATTCTTCCACAGCTGAAACACCATTAGCATCAGCTTTGATGGGCTCTGAAGCGCTTGAGTTATCTTTCACAGGAGCATCAGTCGGGACCACTGCATCAGAAGAATTTGCAGCATTATGTGCCACTCTACGGTTCCTCCCTTTATTCGACTTTCCAGCCATTTTCACCACCTATTCTGCAAAGATTTATTAAAACACCCAAAACATAAGCACCACACATGAATAAACACAGGAAGAAAAAAAACTAAGCATGCACACTGCATTTCGTAAGCCACTAAACAGTATCACACGAGATGAAGGACATAAAAGCCCCAAAAGACAAACAACTAAATAGGAGAGAGGGGATATAAGTATTACTTTTGTGCTCGTACGGATACATACATACACACACATATAGTGCTTTATACATTTATCAAATATAACCAGTTCGAAAACATGGAAAGCCTCTTCCTTTCCTACTAATTCAAAATGCACGAATTCAAAGCCTCCTCCTTCCCTCCTCCCCAAACTAGGCATGAAAGCATTATTTTTCAAATAAAGTCATAATATAAAAGGAAAAAGAACAACAAAACAAAACAAAACAGTAGTTGCAATGGTAAGACTAAGCATAAAAAGGAAGGCCTACATATAAGTTACAACACAGAGCAAAGTTTGGAAAACCACAACAAACAAAAGTCTTCAATATTTCAGTTTCTTCATTTTGCAAACAAGTAAAAAAAAAAGAATTTTCAATCAACTGAGCCAGGTGTAACACCTGTTCATTCATTCTCCAAAAAACAGAAGAATCAATTTTCCATTTTTATTTGATTTATTTTCACTCCATTTTCTTGGGAACCAAACGAGGAATTAACAGAAATGAAACGGATAGAATAACATTAGTATTATTACCTGTGACGGTGGGAACGATGAATATATGAATATATATATCTCTGTGTGTGGAGAGAGGGTGAGAGTCGCACGCTGAGGTTTTAGGAGGGGGTAGAGAGCGAGTAGCAGGAAGGCAGTGGCTGAGAGCCTGAGAGGCGGCGAAGTTTCGCCCTTTTATGTGAGAGAAAGAGGGAGAGTGAGAGTGGAAGAGAGAGAAAGAGACCTTCTAATAATTTGGTGACCCATTAATGGTGGGCTTGGGCCTTCTTTCTCATTTATCTACGACCGAAAAGCTTTTCTCTTTTTAATTGTGAAAATTTACAAGCCAATGACAAATGGATTCTTTTATTATTTAAGAAAATGGGTGTTGGAAAAAGAAAAAGCAATATAATTTTGGTTTTTAGCCTAGGTTATACTCAATTACAATTTTAATTGATTTCCTCTACTTTCATTTCGACTACAAGAATCTACTTGACTTATTTTCTTTACATGTCACCTGATTTAAATATAATCTTACGGCTATAACACTAACACAACATACACATATATGTATTTTAAAAAACTTAAATTGGAACTAATCATTTTCTTTAAGCGCTGTAGACATGGAAATTTTAGTGAAATAAACATTCACTAATTTACAGTCAATAGTCAAAATTCAAAATTTGACTAGTCAAAGATAACTGGAAAATTTGTGGATCCCACACAAATAGACGTGGCACATGACTCACGCAGACAAAAGTGTGAACCGGAGATGCACATGTTAGCATCTAAGAGCTTCATCAATCAAATGAAATCATATGCCAAAAAGGAATAAATTATCCTTATTTGGTCATCTTCCCAAATCACGAGTTAATTTCCCTAAATGAAGGATTTTGACTTAACTAAGAGCTAAATTAAATCAATTAGCTCAAATTAAATCAAATCAGAAATCAATCCCACAAATCAAGGGATTCAGATTGAGGATTCCAAACCAAGGCCCAATTCTTTGCCTATAAATACCTGGCTCATATTCAAAAGAAAGGGGCTTGGAAAAGAAAGCTTAGACGGATCAAGTACTCAGAAGAAACAGAAAACTCTCTCCATTCTTCACCCCACTTTGGAAGAGCCACAAAGCACAACAAATACGTGCCGGTTCCTCCACCCTAGAAAAATCCAAACACCCAAACAAGCCTTGTGCTACTCGTTTGATCAAGATCAAGTCTCTACGACCCTTGTATCAAACACAACTTTTCTTTAAACACTTTGGAGATCGAATCAGAGGATTCAATACAGAGATTGTAACCCTTAATTTCATTAATACAAATATTATTTTGTACACGTGTTCTTGTCTCATTTGTCGCAGGAAATTCGTGTTTACAAATTTGGTGAAGATCCTTACTCGCGGGGAAAATTGTCATCCCTACTTAAGACTATTGCGTACTTGTGTTAATTTACAAAGATTGCCGATTACCTCACACTTAGAAGAATAATAATAATAATTTAATTTAACAGTGTAAATTTTAATAAAAATTTGTAGGAACACCTATTTTCGGCAACCAATAAAATGGGGACACTTGAAAAAAGAAATATTCCTTAGGTTAATTAATTGTGCTAATTAAATCCTATTTAATTAGGCAATTATATTTTATTTAATATAGGAATATCTCCCCCAATCATTATAGCTCTCTCATGGAAATCCCTTCTCATCGTTAGGTTATATGTAACGTGTGGAGATTGCACAAAGGAGGCGATCTGAAAATTAGTTAGCAGAAGTCAATTGCATGCATTGAGCCAACGCTTCAATAAATCATTAATTCTTAATTAATAGCATCGCTGATCCACAGATCCACAGAAGTTTCAAATTGCTCACAGTAGTGCAGAAGCACTGTTATAGTTTTCTTCATTGTTGTTGACAAGTTTGGTGATGAACAGCTCTTGAAAATATATTTCAAGTCGTTTAATTTAGTCATTTTAGCATGGAACGTTCTTGATTATAATACTTTATGATACTCTATTAGAATATGATTATCCAACTCAAAATTGATTAGCAATGAGTGAGATTCACACTCTCAATCTTAACGTCTATTTTGAATCGAAGATCAACTATTGATGAGAGATAAATACTTTCTAAGGAACCAATGAGCAAGAGTTCACCCATAAAGATGAGCAAGAGCTTCCAGGAGAGACAGCATAAAGGAGGAAAAAAGAAAAAGAAAAAAAAGGGATTCCATATTGAATGATATCGTGATGTGTCTGTCCCCCTACTTTAGCTTTAAAGCCCGCTTGACTTTACAAAAAAGAAAGGAAAAATAAATAAAAACGTTTTTGATTTATTATTTTCACGTGTAGAAGTTACGTACTCCCTCTATATAAAGCCCATGCAATATAGCAAGAAGAGAAAACCTACACCAAAAACCCTCCACTCAGTTATGGCATTGCAATTCCGCTCTTTGCTCTTTTGTGTGCTGCTGCTTCTCCCTGGCCTTGCATTGGCAAATACCAATGCTGCCAGGACAGATCCACCTGTTGTTTGTGCAACTCTCAATAGGACCGATTTCGATATTCTTTTTCCGGAGTTCACATTTGGCGCAGGATCAGCATCGTACCAAGTCAGTGCCTTCTGAGAGCTTAATTAGTGCTACTCTTTAATTTGGTTTAATTTGATTTCAGTTTCAGATCATCTAGCATGTCCCATGCATGCATATAGGCATCTTCATTCGATATATCGTGTTATATATATATATAGGGTTAATTACTGTAGACGTCCGTGAATTATGGCCCCAGTTGCAATTGGGTCCGTGAACTAAATTTTGTGGCAATTTCGTACTTTAATTTGACAATAGGGTGCAATTAGGTCCTGCCGTCCAATTCTGTCAATTTATCTGTCAAAATGAGGGGTAAAAGCGTCCTTTCGCTCTGTCTCTCCCTCTCTCTTTCGCTGTCTCTCCCTCTCTTTCGCTCTGTCTCCAAACCATCGTCTACCGACCACCACCTACCTATCAAATGTTTTTCTTTCTCCTCTGCTCAAACATTTATTCCAATGCAATTCATCATTTCCACAACCCATCTGCAATACTGGCTTATATTATTTTTCTTTTTTCTTTTTCATTTGGAAGATTTTGTTTCTTTTCCAAGATCTGAATTTGGCATTCACCAGAGATGCTTCATTCAAGAAAAGTGATATTTCCCAAGTCTTCATTTGGAAGAGGTAATTTGAGACCTCTACCTTTTGCTCTCGCCCAGCCCCCAACTCCCTCCAAACCCGATACCCATTCCCACCCCAACCATAGATCCAGCCCCACCCCTTTGCCCTAGAAAATATAAAACCCAGCCCCACCCCAACACTAGCCAACCTCCCTCTCTCATTAAATGAAGCATGGGACCCTGCTGTCACGTGATGATTTGCCTTTAAAGCCTTGGCCGCAAATTTGTTCGGCCTCGGCCTATGCTTGAGGCCGAGATGATCATGCCTTATCATTTCCTTCTTTTATTTTTAGGAAGGCGAAATACCCTGGCGAAACGCTGCGTTTCAGCTTCTGCAAACAAGTGCCAGGGCCAAGAGAAGGGGCTCCTTCGGCCAGCTCATGGCCGAGATTTATCAGGCACAAACATAAACGTAAACATATCATATTGGAAAAGTAAAGGCAATAGAATAATAGTTCCATAGACAATTAATAAAACTTGTAGCAAAATACCATTTTAAAATTCAACAACTAAACCACAAACACCTCCCAACCAATTGGTCCCGGTCAAGTCAGCAAGGCCCACCATTTAGGTCAATTAGGCCCGTGGAGCCCACGACCTCTGCTTTCCAATCCGAAAATTCCTACATGTCCAACAAAGTATACTAAACAAGTCCCGAAGTTTTGGTCTCAATCGAGCGGTTGGATATAAGCCAATCGGATGATCGGACGATGATTGTTTTGTCTAAACTTAGAATCATTGATTCGGAATATCCGAGGCTTCAATTTTTTATCCGCAAGTTCCTACACGATTCTACAAGTACCGAGAACACCATATTTGAAATTAGAAATGATCAAACGGTTTTGTTGGCACTAAAACTGAACAGATAGAGATGAGTGCAACTTACAAGAGATGTGGACGATCTAGCAGATCGATTGAGTGATATTTGGAGATTCTTCCTGTCTTCAGATGCTGATCCTGAATAGAAGATAAGCGAAACTCGTGAGGTCTATGGAACCGGTGTGGAACCAGCCTAAGACCCTCCGATGCTTAAGTAAAATTGTTTATAAGAGCTCTTGCTGTTGGCCATATAAAAGTATAAAAGTCAAGCTGAAAAGTCTTACCCTCCTATTGTAGTGAAGGGGTCTCTTTTTATAGGGAAGGGAGAGTCCCCTTCTCTTGTGTTTTGTAGATGTGGGACTCCTATCCCTTTGCTTGGATTGGCTTGGGAATGCTTGGCCAGATATTGTACAAACAGGAGTCCCCCAAGTTCCCGATTAAGGAGGTGTGGTTTTAGTTTTTAGCTATTAGATTAATATTTAAAGGAGGTGGTATGTAGAGAAGAAAAGTCAATCAAATTATAACATACGATCCAAATCCTTTTAAATGATGGACTTTAGGCTCCATGGCTAAATTTGATAATAATAAAAAATAAAAAAACTGTATGCATTTTGAATGAATTTGAAATGACTACATACAAAGAGCTATTTGAAATTTATTTGATTTCTTCATTTCCACAACACTTTTACACAAATAAGGAGCTTCTTATTAAAAAAGGCTTAATATCACAAAACGTCCCTAAGGTTTACGAAACTATCATATTGCATCCTTAATTTTATTTTTTTTGTCATTCGTGGTCCCTAATGTTAGTATGTGTGATCACAAATGGTCTCTGCCGTTAGGTTCCGTCAAAAACTCCGTTAGTTTGCTAACGTGACATATATATATCACAAAACATCCCTGAGGTTCACGCACTTATTACAAATGATACCTGAGAATTTTTAAAAAAATTTTATTTCAAATTCATAAAATTTTGGTTTTCTTTTTTGAATTATTTAAATATATGTATTGTATTTTAAATACACGTGACACTATATTATTGTAGATATGGGGTCCACATATATGCCACATCAACAAAATAATAGAGTTTTAAAAAAATAATTTAAAATTCGTAAAATTTAAAAATGAAAAAACCAAGGGTTTAGGGTTCATAAATGGTCCTCAAGATTAAAATCCTTTTATAAATGGTTTTATTTTTATTTTTAAATTACTTTATAAAAACTTCATTAGTTTGT